AAATGGTAGTTTACAAATCCTGTTGTAGCTCATAGTGTCCCTCCTGACATGGACTAGGTGGTCACCCTAATCGTTATGCCGCTTTCTGCACTGTGAGGATGATCTGGTGACGCCAGAAAATGAGGACAAACTCACTGCTACCTCATCCCATCCCTGCTTCACCTCGAACAGCTTGGTGGAAGAGTGCATAGATAATATGCTCACGCAATTTTCAACTTGCACACAAGCACATCCGTTTCCTCGGACGAAAAGCGATCTGGCTTGCCAGCCAAATGCTCCATTGTGACAGCAATCTGCAGTAGATCATGTGCCTCTGCCTTTTAAAGGTGAGGTGAAGTGCCATTCCTCTGAATAATTCAGAGAGTTAGGACAATTTTGTTCTGCCTTGCGCTGGTGCAAAGTTCTGTTGTCAAAATAGCGAAATGGATCTGTGCACGCCCATAACTGTTAGTTCCGCTTTGCCCTTGATGATTCACGTTAGATCTTCAAAATAGAGCCCATGGTCTTTTTGGTCAAGTAGGAGGGTCGTCTGTCTGCATAAACATCCATCAGTTCATGAAAACCTTTCTAGATGTGTTTCAGGTTGGTGTCTGGAAACCCGATGAGGAGCTAAAACTGACCAATGACTCCAAAGATGTCTTTGATGTTGGGTACCAAGATGACCAGGATGTTGACAAAGACCAGCAGGCCGAATGTAACACTGATGTGACGCACCCAATTGAAAGGCTTGGCATCAAAGAAGAGTTGGAGCAGGGCTCTCCGGATCTGTGGAGAAGTACAGCAAGGAGTGTCAATACTGTGACCTTGTCCACACTTGCAATACCATACACAATCAAGAGGATGGAAGGGACCTTACTGGGAAAATGATCACAGGCACTGTGAGGGTCACAGCCATGAGCACAGCCAAACGCACACACAAAATCAGGTGGTCTGCACTGTCTCCCTTGTAGGTATAGAGGAGCTCCGACTCCACCTTATCTGTACACAAAATCAACCAAACCAAGTTATTAAAACCAGAGCATCTCTGTCATCTTGCAGGTTCTCTAAGCACCCATTATGCTATCATTTGCATAGGGCTACATAATGGGTTTATAATGCCTTTCCCTTCTGCTTACCATAGAAGGTGAGGTAGCCAAAGACAGCTGTAAGAAGGTACATGAGAAACATTGCTAAGACGGAGATGTTAGCAACTCTCTGCATGCGCTTCTTCGTCGGCCTGGTGAAGAAAGGCAGAGATGGAGAAATGCAGAACTCCTTAGTGACTGTCAATTCTGTCAATGACATGTACTTCTACATACAAAAATAACAGCAGCTTAATAACTAGCATTCATGCAATGTGATGTCATTAGTGTATAAAAGTTCCATTTCACAATTGTATAGGTTTTCAAAGAAAACAAAAGTGAAACTGTTTAATGACGACAATAATTAAAAGGGATTAATTTTTATACTAACTTGCCATGAGAAGCACTTCTAGAAGTGAGATTTTCTCTTTGCAGATGGTAGGGGACTTATTCAAAATAATTTAATTTTTTTTATTAGATATCCCAGATCTAGCCTTAGCTAAACTTCCCATGTCATCCCCGGCTCTTCAAGACCTATGAGTATTAAAATGACGTTGGTTTGTTTGATGGACTCACTTCCAGAGTTCCGTGTAGATGGGCAGAACCACTGGCTGGCAGACAAAGGCAAACGACACAATTGGAATGGCGTACGCCGTCTGTAACCCAAACACATGGGGGTAAGGACACTAATTCAGTAGGTACTCCAGGACCTGCATGCATCCTCAAAGCATCACAACATCATAAACTGTCTGACCCTTGAGTTAAACGTGATGAGTTTGGCCTCGCACACATCGTCATCACTGGTGCTGTTGACCATGGCTGTTAAGGGCTGGGTCAGGTTGTGATCTTCTAAAGGACATCCGACATTAAACTTTTTGTAGATCACCTACAAAACAAGACACAAAAGTTGCCCGTGCTTACACAGGCCTTCCCTGGCTGTTGGTGTTGATAAAAGATAATGGTTAGCTTAATTTCCCCCTAATACCCCCTCCCCCTACTTACAGAGATAAGGAAGAACACCATGCATGTCAAGGAGAGTCCACTAGTGTACCCAAGGTATCCTGTAGTTTCATTAGGATAAAAACAACAGAAAAAATGATAAATTAACATAATTCAGTTCAAGGAATGTTTTAATACCAGCTTGTCAGCAGTAACACTCAACACTGACACAGAAGATTGGGAGTTTCCTATCATGGGGAGGAACCGATGCAGAGGGAGTGCACTCATCAACTCAGAACTCACCAAGCTGCCGCATGAGGGCAAGAGGCAGGATAATAATCAGGCTGGCAATGATGATCAGGTAATCCCCTTTCAGATACCACTCTCTGGGAACAAGACAGACAGTGCATCAGGCAAAGAACCACAGAATCCTAAATCCTAAATCAGGCTGGACCACTCTTATTGGCTTTTATTGTCATAGCAGCATCATAAAAGTGTTTAGCTTGCAAGTTGTTCCACATCACAATATACTGTAATTGCTTGAGATCGAAGTTTGTTATATTAGGTTAGTTTGCTGGAAATACACTCAGTGACAGAAAAAGTTAAGTACCCAGATAGAGTGGTGGGAATGAAATTAATTTGCAAGTGGTGAAAGGTCAAGTGACTGTATCGCAATGATTATAATGTCAGATCAAACGGACAACAGAGTAGGCAGTATGGGCACACTGCTGGTCCCATGTCAGTAGGGTGTGGCACCCCCCAGGACTGGATACATGCAGCGTTATGGTGTGGAAGGGAGTCATACAGCTGTCGTATCCTCTCCTGCGGTAAGTCGGCCCACAGCTGTTGTAACTGGCCTTTGAGATCCTGCAGATTATATGGCACTGTATCTCAGTTGATGTCCGAGCTGATCCCACACATGTTTGAATGGGGAAAGATCAGGGAACCTACCTGGCCACGGGAGGACCTCAACATGACATAGGCAGTCCATAGACACACTTGCTGTGTGTGGACGGATGTTGTCTTGTTGATAGACTGTACCAGGGTGCTGTCTCAGCAAGGGTAAGACATGCGGACACGGGATGTCACTGCCATACCGCTGTCCCATCAGGGTCCCCCGAATCACTACCAGAGATGACCTGAAGTAATACCCTATGGATCCCCAGACCATCATGCCAGGAGTGACACCGGTGTGTCTCTTCACAACATTGGCAGGATTGGTTCTTTACCCTCGGCACCGCCATACACACACACGACGGTCATTTGTGGTAATGCAGAACCAAGATTCTTCGCTGAAAACGGTATGACGCCACTCCTCATCAGTCCATGCCTCCCAGTTACCACTCCACTCCAAACGCAGCCTTTTCTGCACTGATGTTAACGGCAGCCTACACATGGGAGTGTGAACCCAGAGTCTGGTTGATACCAGTCATCGAGACACGGTGCAGGATGACACAGGGTGTTGTATAGAGTCCAATACCTGTGTCCAGATGGCAGGGCAGATGTCATGGGGTTCTGTAATGCTTGGCACACAATACGACGATCCTGCCTTGGTGTGGTCTGTCTTGGGCGACCGGAACCTTACCGAAGTGAGTGGGTGCCCTCACGTGCCCATTGGTTCCAACATCGGGTGACTGTGACATCTGTATGCCCCACATGCCAGGCAATTACACAATACGTCCACCCAGCCTCATGCAAACCCACAATGCTACCCCTATCAAACTCCGTCAAGTGCTGGTAATGCTGTCTAATGCGTCTACGAGGCATCCTCTGTGTCTGGTGACTAGATATGCCAACTCCTTCACTGGTCTGCAGGTGTACCAAACTACATCCAAGTCGGACCATTACTTTTGGGTACTTAACTTTTTTTCTTAGTGTAAATTAAACCAAGTGAATAGGAAAGAAAAATAAATCCTGTAAAATGTAGGATTTTTGTATTTCAGGATTATTAAAGGCAGACCTATTGCTTAATCACTGCCATACACCCACTGGGCCAGTCTGGTCCAGCACTCACCCGGAGTTGGATGGGGTTCCCAGAAAGGTTCCAATAACCAGTGGCAGCTCAGACTTCACAATGAAGAGGTAGCTGCAGATGGCTGAAGACAAGAAGACCAACAGTTTTGAAAACCATAACAGAAATGGACTCTCCTTTCAGTAAATATACTCCTGGCCTGATCTGTGAATATTGTCTACATGGATCTAATTTATTTCATGGATAATGATCATGGCTTTCAGACTTGCCAGCACATCACAGCACAACACAACACGGAGCATCCAGTGTTGGTCACACGGCTCTATGATGTTATCAGAATGAGTTTGCCCTGCGTGTGGTTTTTCCCCCGGTGCAGGTTACCCTAAAGGGGAGCAGCATTATCTCCCTGCTCTGGAACAATAATCTCACAGCCTCCTGGCAGTCGGGAGGCCAGATGCTCCTCCCACTTGTGCTGACTCACCTCCGATGTTGTGTATGGAGATGACACAAACCTCCAGCACTTTCCCCCAAGCACCAATAGCCTGATTACTCAGCTGTTCATAGGCACGGATCCCTGCGAGTCAGATAAACCGTAGAACATGTGTTACTAACAAGTCATCGAAAAATCCATTGAAGATAAACAGTCTTCGTGTGCAGACCATCTATACCAGGTATGTCATCTGCATGCTTGCAAATCCTTGTGGCACATAGCAGATAGATTAGATGGTCATCTATGCTAATCTAATAATAAATGAAGCCTGGCGGATCAGTGTGTGCATTTTACCCAGCCAGGTGGGGTTTGTGATATAATGCATGATATGAGCAGCTTACCTACAATATCGGCGCTTCTCAGGAGAAGGTGAATTGAGTAAGCAGACAAGGTGGCNCACAACACGGAGCATCCAGTGTTGGTCACACGGCTCTATGATGTTATCAGAATGAGTTTGCCCTGCGTGTGGTTTTTCCCCCGGTGCAGGTTACCCTAAAGGGGAGCAGCATTATCTCCCTGCTCTGGAACAGTAATCTCACAGCCTCCTGGCAGTCAGGAGGCCAGATGCTCCTCCCACTTGTGCCGACTCACCTCCGATGTTGTGTATGGAGATGACACAAGCCGCCAGCACTTTCCCCCGAACACCGAAAGCCTGATTACCCAGCTGTTCATAGGAACGGATCCCTGTGAGTCATATAAACCGTAGAATATATGTTACTAACAAGTAATGGAAAAATGCACAGTAGATAAACAGTCAGTGCATGAGGACCTTTTAAACCATGTATGTCATCAGCATGTTTCCAAATGTAGCAGGACTTTATGCTTGAGGCACATAACAGATAGATTAGCTGGTCATCTATGCTAATCTTATTAAATGAAGCCTGGTGGAACAGTGTGTGCATTTTACCCAGCCAGGTGGGGTCTGTGATATAATGCATGATATGAGCAGCTTACCTACAATATCGGCGCTTCTCAGGAGAAGGTGAATTGAGTAAGCAGACAAGGTGGCGATACTGGTCAGCAGAATCCTGAAGAGCACAGACAGGCATGGACAGACTGCACACACCATGTAGTGCTAATTCCACAGCTCTATTATGCATGTCTAACACTGACAAAACCCACAGTGAGTGGGATAGATGTGCACTGTTAATCACAACAATTTTACCTGCTTTTCTATTTAGGCTAAACCAGGCTGTGACTGACAATGCCTGGCTGTACCAGCAACTGTGGTTTCTAAACTCCTGTTTCTTCACTTAGTAAGTTTATCAGTTTGTTAGTGAACCATGCAGAGCAACATTAAATGGCAGAGATATATTGAAGCTCCCATTGACTTCCCAACAGATAGCAGTAGACCTGGGGCCTGTACTATGAAGCGAGGTTACTGGCTTATCCGGGTAACTTGTCGGATTTAAGGTAGTCTGGGCAAAATGTAAGTGAGCGAATATGAATTCCATTAAAACTGTGGTACTTTAAATTCGACAAGTTACCTTTGATAAGCCAGTAACCCCACGTCGTAGTACAGGCCACTGGTCTTTTGCAGTATGCGTGTGTGTGTGGACACTTTCATCTAGTTTACTCACACGAAGAGGATGATGCCAGTGTTGGCCATGGCGTATGCCAAGCCCAGAACTCCACTACCCATGATGGCATTACTGAGGTTGAAGATGGACATTCCCAAAGAGGTCTTTCCAACAAACTGCATTGGGACAACAAAAGCAAATTTACTTCTAACATGCTTATTTCTTGTGCTTTATTTTGTATAATTGTCAAAATGATTTGAAATGACTTTTTTACAGTAATCACAAAATATTCTGATCTATACTGCTAGATCTTTCCTCTCTGTTTACAGGACACCCTTACTCACATCAGTAAAGTGACTCTGGTTTTGCTCATCAGGCATATGAGGTAGGAATTCCTCACGTTCTTCTGGAGTGGCTTCAGCATCATGAAACCTTGGCAAAACAGTCCCATCTTCATCTGTACACCTATTCAATTTTAGTTTTCAAATGCATTTATTTACAACTTAAGACAATAAAAATACTACTACATTATTATAACACAATCCTGTTGATTTTAATTGCCATTTTGGCCCCCAGCCCACCCCATCATTTCATCACTAGGCCCATCTCACCTAGTTTCAGTGGTCACATGCTCAGGGTAATGGATGCCATTCGAACGCTTTTCCAATTCCATGATGTTGCTATTGGGTCCAATCAGGTCATCTGATACTAATTTCCCTGGCAGGATGGTTTCCTGGCTCTGAGGGATACCAAGATGGTCTCAGACCTGGTGGGGCTGCAAAGAAAACCAAGAAAAGCATGAAAATCACTCAGGCAATTCTTGGTCAACATAGTTCTAACATCAAAAACATGGAACTTAGAGATATGAACAGAACAAACATTTTGCTTGATGGATTTGCAACTAAGTTGATGACTATTACAGAAAAGAAAAGAAAATCTATTATAAAATCTAAGATGTGCATCTGAATTGAAAGGGATCGACCTGTCATATTACAATATAATCCTTCATGTCTCCTCTGAAGAACACACTGAACACAGAACTCAATGAAATTGCCATTAAGATCCACCCTACCCGCCCGGCACCAAACAAGCTGCGGACACAGAGCACTGGTTGGTGGATATCCACTGGACATTCTTAGTTTTCAAGTAATTAATAACGTTTTCTGTGGAATTTCTCCCTGAGGACAGTTTTTTTTTTTTTTACAGTGTCTGCCTCTTGTTTACACCTCATTGAAAACATGACTCACTCATGACTAGTGTTCCCACACAATATTTTACTGTTTGAATTTCCACAGCAGTAAAAAACAGCAGAATTCAACCATGACCTGTGTTTATTTTGGGATTTAACCACATGTGCAACATCCTATTGTTATTAAGAGTCACAGCTGAAATGGGTACGGAGGTTACAGAGTCTCATTTTAATGTCACCAGCCGAGTGACAGGTGGAGGTGCCCTGACAGTAATCATTAATCAAAGTGTGATTGAGAAAAGGAAGCAAATCAGCAAGAAAACAAAAAAAGATTCATGGAAACAGGAGATCATGTCACACTGAAAAGTTAAATACTGAATGCAGCTTAATACAATTAACATTTGGCATTAGAACATGTGCTCTGCATGTCTGATAAGAGCCGTGAGGTTGATAATGGAGTACCCCAGTCTGCATTTCTATATTACACAGCCGAAAGCATATTAATACAAACCGGAACAGACGTACGAAACCTACAGTCTGTTCACTCATCTCCAAACACATCTACAATCTTGGTGGTAGAAGCATCTAACTGAGACCAGTTTGTTTAACTTGAACATTGTCAGTTTTGAAGCCTTGAATTTATTGGTACCAGTGATCGAAGCATCTCTTACACTATCAGATTTTCCAGATCAGACGCCAGAACACCCATTTCACAATATTACAAGTAAATCGTTACATAAAAGGAGGAAAAGTTACCTGATCCAAAGCAAACATTAGCAGCATCTGTGACAAAGAGATGGCCAGGAGGAACTTGTAAAAGACTGACATACATGCACACAAAGTAGTGCCTCACTACTGTCTGATGCAAGACTTCCTGCCTATTGGCGATACCAGTTCAGCCAGTTCTAACTGGCAGACAGAGACTCCAAAAACTTTGTTCAACTTACCTTTTCTGAGCACAGCTGGGCTTGGACCCGGATTTGTGACTTTTTCATGTATTCTTAACTTGTAACTCTTCCAGCCACATTACAGTGACCGTACTGATCTCCAGTGAGGCTAAATTATTTAATTTTTCCTTATTGTCCGTAACGTACAGTATATACACCCACATAGATGAGTGGAAGACATACGGCGGAGGAGACAGACAGAGAGTGAGAATGAGAGAGAGAGTGAAGAGCTGCATTTATCTTAACGTTTTTTCTCTCATGTGATCTACCTTTCATACATCTGATTGCAGCTCAAAGTGCTTTACATACAGTGCAAATAACCATGGGAGGTATTTCCTGCCAAAAAGAAAAGGAAAATGATAATGATAAAATAAAAACACAATCTCCACATTGCCATTTAATTAAAATTAAAAATAAAATGAAATAGTACCATTTAATTACATTTTCATTTAATTTAACTCGTTAGAACCATGCTAGGAAGAAACAGGAGGGGCAGATAGGCAGGATGTGACACTTTCAATTTTCCTTCCACAATCACCCCTTTTGAACATGTGAAACCCCGCATTGTTCACAACACATTAGACCCAGACCCCATTCCCGAAACATCTTTGTTCCATTATGGGTAATAATGCACACACATGAATTCATATAAGGAGGAGAGTAAAGGCGGTTCTCCGTCATGGCATTGTTCATGTTTATGATGACCTGAGAGCTTGCTGGGCCGGATGGGGCAGCTAAGAGCTACGGTGGAATCAGGGGTTCTACAGGGGTCGGTGCAGGACGCAGGAACGTAACGGACTTGGCCCTTGAGGTGAGAGAAGCTGAACCACACTTTAACAGTAAGATTATAACCATACATACGAGAGAAACCAGATAAACCAAGGATTAGTGAAGAAAACCAGCTGTCCCAGCTGTACCCGAACAGGCCATGCTGCTTATAAATTTCAGATATCTGCCTATGGACAACATCCTCCAGATCCTGCACGTGTTGAGATGAGTCAGAAACATATGTACAACATTCCTTCACCATTGTGGCACAGAAGCCTCCTTTGCCAGCCAACAGGAGGTCCAATGCCATGCAATTTTGGAAAGCTACCTGTTTGACTGTGTCATACTGCTAGGCAACACAGCTGCGAGAAATTCAAGACACGCTCCCGCTCCTACTTAAACCTCGCAGTGCGAGGTATTAACCTTATGCAATTTCCGAGCGCTTCACTCCTTTGTCTCTGTTACAGCTCCGTTTCGCCCGACTCACTCTACCATCTCTTCCCGCGCCTCCTGAACCCTCCTGCTCCCATCCCACCCAGCCCTGATCTTCCCCCGTGGTCAACCCCAGTGTTTCCTGTCTGAGTCATCGGACTGATCTCCCGGCTCCACGACTTACTTGCACCCAGCTTGACGACTCTCCTATTGAATTATCCCTTGGTTCCTGATGCATGGCTTGGACAGATCTTTGGCTTGAACCCTGCTTATTATCTGGACTCCGATTTGGCTTTCACCAATAAAGAGCTTTTAACCCTCCCAGAGTGTTCTCTTGTGACAGAATACTTCGCTGCTACTATGGAGATGCAGGAGCAGATGCGCCAAGCGCTGGAGCAGGTTCACTCGATGACGGAGTTAGTGGCCAGCTCCTTTATGCGCAAGCTTCTCCTGTTCCCCTTCCAAGCTCACCACCCCAATCACCTGTTTCCGTAGCCCTTCCTCATCGCTACGAAGCTGACCCCGATGCCTGTCGGGCATTCTTGATGCAGTGTGGGCTATACATCACCCACCATCCCGACCAGTTCCTCTCTGACGAGGACCAGGTACATTTCATGATCTGTCTCCTCAGGGCACGAGCCTTGTCATGGGCCACGGAGCTATGGGTGGAATAGAGTCCTCTCCTGCAGTCATCCCGTGACTTCCAGGAAGCGTTTAGAGAGGTTTTCGATCATCCCGCAGTTGGTCGAAGCCTTGGTGACCGACTCCTCGACCTACGCTAAGGGAACCGATCTGCCTCGGACTGGAGTTCTGCACTTTAGCTGCCAGATTAAGTTGGCTGACAGACTGTCTCTAAGTCATCTATTGACGCGCTCTCCGACCTGAACTGCGAGCGGAGCTGGCCTGCCCTGGGGTCACACATACTTTTGACGAGTACATGAAACTGTCCATCACCCTTGACACGCAATCATCAGGGAACAGCAACGGTCATCTTACCATCCTGAGAGGGTCCTGGCAAACCCCCCACCATGTCCAGAAGATCCAGAGCCTATGGTGGTGGGGCAAGCACCGCTCTCTGCAGAAGAACGAAACGCAGGATGCATAAAGGCTTGTGTGTTTATTGTGGAGAGCTGGGACATGTAATTCGGAGCTGCCCAATCCGACCACCCCGACCATGCTCTGGAGAGACCCAGGTAAGAACCCTTCTTCCTCCCTCTATGACCCAGACCCAGATGGTTGTCCTGGGGGAGCTTATTTGGTGAGACTGCAGGGTCTGAAGCCCCGCCTTAGTGGATTCGGGAGCAGCAGGAAATTTAATTGATAGGGAATTCGCCCAGACCAACCACATCCAATTAGAAGCCCTACAACAACCCTTGTGTATATGGGGCATAGATGGTACCTCCCTGGTGTCTGGATGAGTTACGTCCCACACAGGTCCTATCATGCTGAAAGTTGGGCTGTTTTATAGTGAGACTATCCAATTCCTTGTTATTACTTCTCCAAGAGATCCTATAATTTTGGGGTTTCCCTGGTTAAGGGAACATGATCTCAAGATGGAGGACCGGGGATATCCTAGCTTGGTCCCACAACTGTTTTGATTCCTGCCTGTTTCTCCCATGTCGAGTGTCATCCCTAAAAAGCCCTCTTACGGAGGACCTCTCCGCAATCCCCAAGGAATATTGCCATTTTAAAAAGGTATTTAGTAAATTGGAGGCGTACAGTGCGCCATAGAGCTCCTAGAAGGGACAACTCTACCCAAAAGCTGACTCTATGAGCTATCCCAATCCGAAGAAGAAGTGATGTGCACCTACGTCTCCGAGGCATTGGATCAAGGTATTATTCGCCCGTCCATCTATCCCGTCTGCGTCGGATTTCCATTCACTTTCTGGGCTATCATATCTGACCGGGGGAAGTGGCCATGGACTCGGGTAAGATCAAAGCCGTCCTCTAGTGGCCACAACCTAGTACCGTTAAGGAGCTACATAGATTCCTAGGGTTCGCAAATTTCTACCGACGCTTCTTTCGGGGATTTAGTATGGTACTGTAGCAGCGCCCCTGACAAACCTCTTGCGAGGAGGAAGAAGACCCTTCTCTGGTCCAAGGTCACATTGCACATCTTCACCGAGCTAAAGGAGTGATTCTGCATGGCTCCGTTGTTGCAACAGCCCGACCCAAAGGAACCCTTCATCATAGAAGTTGACGCCTCCATGGTCGGAAGCGAAGCCGTGCTTTCGCAAAGAGACTCCAAGTCAGGTAAAACTCACCTCTGTGCTTTTCTCTCAAAGAAGCTTTCGTCTGCTGAATGCAATTATATGATATGGGTAACTGCGAATTACCAGCCATAAAAAACACCTTGGAGGAGTGGCGACATTGGTTAGATGGAGCGAAACACCCATTTCTAGTACTTACAGACCATCATAATCTACAATACCTGCAATCGGCTAATCGTCTCAACCCCTGTCAAGCTAGATGAGCTTTGTTCTTCACCGATTTTCATTTTCAGATGTCCTACCTTCCCGGGTCAAAGAACGTGAAGGCAGATGAGCTGTCTCGATGCTTTTTTCCCAACAAAGGGTGGTGGTGGGCAATAAAAAAAAAAAAAAAAAAGTTTCCGAAGATCCACACCTCCCTAGGTTCTGGACACCCCGGTGTTGATGCGACTACTCGTCTGGTAGCCAAGCGGTACTGGTGGTCCGGCTGGAGATGGGAGACAGAACACTATGCCTTATCCTGTCCCATTTCTGCTTCATCTTCTACCTGCACTCGGCTTGAAGACTCTCCTATCGGATTATCCCTTGGTTCCTGACTCACGGCTTAGATGGATCTTTGGTTTGAATCCTGCTTGTTATCTGGACTCCGATTTGGCTTTGGCCCAATAAAGAGCTTTTGACCCTCCCTGAGTGTTCTGTTGTGACAGACTGCAGATAGTTTAATAGCTTTCACGGTAACAACTGAGTTTTGGGTACAACCCACACGGGAGGCTCAAAATGAACTAAATAACAATACCAATCTCCACTTGTCTCAGATATGGAGAGAACAGTATATCCCCTTGCCCTGTCCCTTTCACCGCAGACAAATGCTGAGTGGGGAGGAGCCACCAGGGGAAGCTAGAGAAATTAACTTTGGTCGCACAATGTCTAGGAGAAAAGTTTGGTGAACCACTCAAATTGTATGACCTCCCTACACTCGACTATCATGCTCCAGTACTATTATTGTCTGGACAGAGCAGATCCACCCCCTCCGGTCCTACTCATCCCTATGAGACAACGTACAGTGGTAGAAAGTCCAGGAAATAACTGCTCTTCTTGAGCAGGAAATAAAGAGTTCTTTGAACCATATATCTGTTTAAGTTCGGCTAATGCCATGTCGCAAGCTAACTACTTCGCCCAAAAATACTGTCCCATTGGATTTGTCAGATTATATTTAGTTTAGGGAATAATCATCTGATGTATTGTAACACCAATTGTATTGTGTATTGTGTGTTGTTTTGTGACAGAAAGCATGCATGCAATATGACCATGGGCCCCCTGCTCATATTGGCACTTTCAATCGCTCACTTAATGTGTGTGTGTGGGCAGTTGGGGGGCCTCTACAAGTGCTGGACCCTCTGAATTTGTCATGGTATCCATGCCCCACCAACACCCCTGCCTGGATAAGTTGGCAAGTGGCTACAACTGCAAAAAGAACCCTATGCTGGCTACCTGTAATATTGTT